TTTCTCGGTCGCCAACATGTCTCATCGTCAAACCCTAGGCCTTTCATGATAGTCTCAAAGTAAACCATGCCCAATATCCAGGTACACGCCTTGACGATCACATTTTTGGCTTTTCGAAGGCTACTACTCAAAGAAATATGGATTACTCCAGAATTGCAACATTGATGTTCATCGTGAGTAAATGACAGAATAGAAACGATGCGAATCACGTTGTGTATGTTCGCCATGCACTCTGAACTTGAAATTAATGCGAGTTTTCTCATAAAACTAAAAGCATGAACCAAACTAACATGCCAATCACAATTATTATGAAATGAAACACACCTTTTACACGCATATTTTAAAGAATATTGTCGACGCCCAGTAAAAACACTCTGGGCTTATAATCGTGAATGCCCTCAACTCGATAAATACCAAGTAAAAACATAGGGATGAGCTTCATACTCGGGAGGGGCTTACGATCGGGGAAGTACGGTACTTTAACGCAATTGGGCTTTCACTCTCAGAATACTGTGGTTCAAACGCATAAGGCTCTAACCCAAGTTTTAAAAAGCACATTGTGCATATAAAAGTTGAGTTTATACTAATAGTACACAATGCTTGGCAGCGTGAACGGCTATGTACAATGGCGTATACGAATGCGATCAGATACTAAAACGTCATAGCTTTGAAAAGTACCCGGATGTTAAATATGTTCGTTCGTTAATTATTCCCCTCCATGAATGGCCTCCATGGCAAGCACTTCAAATGCTTATCCAAGCTACAGTTATAATTAAAACAAAATTAAACCACTGCAATATTATTTCGAATACAGTTTAGAATATACACAACTATAAATTAAGGCCGCATTTAGGTTCGCTTTAAAGTTAGAGTATACCGGTGGTTTGCACGAGGTTTATGAAAAAACGTAATAGAATTTTGCAAATATGCAAATACGGATATGAAGCCAACATATCCAAGAGTAAGAAAAATTAAACGGCGACATCGTAGTGCTATTCACTGAAACGCCATTTAAAATTAGGTCAACGGTAATTGCCAAAAACCGAACACCGAGAAATCTGCACTTTTATGATTTCAAACTTCAATCAACGTTAACTCCCGTTTTAGGGGCAAAATTTACATGGACTAATTGTAAATGAAATTCTTTGAAAGTTGTTTTCGGGAAAAATCATGAACCGACATTTATATCTGTGAAAAACTTTGTTTTTTGGCCGTTTTCTTTCACGCTATGGACGTCATTCATTAAAGCTTGGATTATGCAAAGTGGACGGTTCTGTTTGCGAGTAACAAACAATACAGACACTACACTTGGCAGTTGAAGTGTTTGCAAATACAGTGTATTTATTTTTGGGCCGTTGTGTTTGTAAACTTATTAGTTCAAGCATGATGCCACGAGTTTCGAAGTCTCCTGGAGGCAGCTTGTACATACTGGCGAAAGGGTGTACCCGTTACTGGTTGAGGTAACCCCTAATAGCTTGACAGTTTCACCAGAGCACGCCGTCCCTTTCCAGTCGCTCGCATTCCAATGGCAGCCTTTCTATTTATTTCGAAAACTGACCCCTTCTTTCGGGATGACGGGAAGCTTGGCTGGCTCAGTTGCGATCGAATACAATCTCCTTGCGTGCAAAGAAATTCAAACTGACTGCCTAGACCGTGACGCCTGCGCTCCACTATTGAGATATTGCCTACTTTGCAAAATTGACAAATCTCTTTTT